TTGAGTTCCCGCCCGCATACATGCCCTTGCTCTCTCTCTCTCTCTCTCTCTCTCTCTCTCTCTCTCTCTCTCTCTTGCTCTCTCTTTCCTCCCTTTTTCACTATTCCTACTCCCCTTCCCTTCTCACTTGCTGCTCTATATTCTTTTTGCATTGCACGGGGGTTTGTTAGGCCCTCTTTGCTTGTGTAGCCCGCCTCCGTCTCCGTTATACGTGGTCTGGCATCCCCGGTGGAACCAGAGAGCCAACGTAACTACCATCTCTCGGACGGACTTTTAGAGAAGTCACTCTGTACCTTGCTATATTTCCACCTGTGTGGAAAACTTGGAATAGACCTTGATTTTGCTGTGTAAGTCGATTAATCCGAGAACCATTCTCCCTCTCTGTTGTCCGCGGCTGTTTAGGATGGTCTTCCGAATCGCCTCTGTGCCGCAGCAATTCTTCTGACTGAAGACCTTTCCCCCCATAGTTGACCCTACACCATGCATATCAAAGAGAAGCTTTCCCAGAATGAGGCTGCTGGGAGACCAGGAATCTCATTCGAGTTCTTCCCACCCAAAACAGCCCAGGGTGTCCAGAACCTTTACGACAGAATGGATCGCATGCACGCCTTAGGTCCCTCCTTCATCGACATCACCTGGGGAGCTGGCGGCCGCCTGTCTGATTTGACTTGCGAAATGGTCAATGTTGCCCAGTCGGTGTATGGCTTGGAAACTTGTATGCACCTGACATGTACCGATATGCCCGTCGAGAAGGTGGATGATGCGCTCCAGGCCGCTTACAAGGCTGGCTGCACTAACATCCTGGCTCTTCGTGGAGACCCCCCTCGTGAAAAGGAAAATTGGGAAGCCACCGACGGCGGATTCCGCTATGCGAAGGACCTGGTGAAGCACATTAGGGAGAAATACGGCAATCACTTTGATATCGGGGTCGGAGGTTACCCCGAGGGTGCGGATGACAACCCGGACGTTGATCTTCTGATTGATCACCTCAAAGAGAAAGTCGATGCAGGAGCCTCTTTCGTGATCACTCAGATGTTCTACGACACGGACAACTTCATTGACTGGGTAAAGAAATGCCGCAACAAGGGCGTTGCGGTGCCCATTATCCCTGGTATTATGCCCATCCAGACGTATGCTGCATTCATCAGACGATCGGAGTGGACGAAAACGCGGATTCCGCCTGAGTGGCTGGAGGCCCTGGAGCCTGTGAAGAACGACGATGCCGCTGTGAGAAACATCGGTAAGCGCCTGGTCGCGGACATGTGTAGAAGGCTCCTCGAGAGCGGTCTCAACCACCTGCACTTGTGAGTCAAACCTTTTTGCCTATGTATTTTCTGACAGGATCTGACAATCGCTGCCAAGTTACACAATGAACCTTGCTCAATCAACACAATTGGTTCTCGAAGATCTCAACCTTCTACCGTCCGAAGAGACACCGCTTCAGAGAGCCCTGCCTTGGCGGCCGTCGCTTGGTCTCAATCGCAGAGGGGAAGATGTTCGTCCCATCTTCTGGCGGAACCGCAATTCTTCCTACATCGCTCGCACGCAGACTTGGGATGAGTTCCCGAACGGACGCTGGACTGATTCCCGGTCGCCTGCCTTCGGCGAGCTTGACAGCTATGGTATTGGTCTCAAGGGTACAAACGAGCAAAACATTAAGCTGTGGGGACAACCTAAGTCTATCAGGGACATCACCCATATCTTTGTCGACTTCCTGGAAGGCAAGTTAGCGCGACTGCCTTGGAGTGACAGCCCGATTACCGCCGAAGCCAACGCTATCAAGGATGACCTTGTCGAGCTAAACAAGAAGGGTATCTTCACCATCAACTCTCAGCCGGCCGTGAATGGTGTGAAATCCTCCCACCCGGTATATGGATGGGGTCCCAAGAACGGTTATGTCTATCAGAAGGCATACCTGGAACTCTTGATTCCTTCCTATCTGCTTGATGATTTGATTGCCCGCATCGAGAAAAACGGTTACCTCACATACCACGCTGTCTCTAAGAATGGGAACCTGCGGACCAACACTAACGACAGCCCCAATGCTTTAACCTGGGGTATTTTTGCGGGACGAGAGATTGTCCAGCCTACCATTGTGGAGACGGTCAGTTTCTTGGCCTGGAAGGATGAGGCATACCGTCTTGGTGAAGATTGGGCCAAATGTCACGATGCTTCCAGCCCCAGCAGAAAGTTGATCCAGAGCGTTGTCGATGACTGGTCTCTTGTTAACATCGGTGAGTGCACTGCATACATCCATCATATGGTGGCTAGTACTGATCTGTAAAACACAGTGAACAATGATTTCCACAACACCAGCAGCCTCTTCGACCTATTCAAGGATCTGACCGTGAAGAATCTCGATACCGAGATTGCGGTCGAGGATGGTGAAACCAAGGTTCATCAAAACGGCGTCGCGAATGGAGTCGAAGCCACCAACGGCACCGTTGCAAATGGAACCACAACAGAGCTTCCAGTCAAGAACTAGAATCCTCTGATCTCCCTCTTTCAATGCCGCTTTCAACAGGCCTATCGACGGGCTCACACACTTAGTCTACGATCGTGCTATGCATCCTCATGCATGCATCCTCTTCAACCCGTCTCACGACTACATACTAATTTCAACACATGACGACTACAACTACACCTAATTCAACATCTATCTATTCTCAACGACTTTTTCCCGCGGCCCCGAGTCAGGAACACTCGGGCCACAACAAGCAACTCAACGAAACGTTTAACGGCGGCATGAACTGAAGACCTCTCAACGATTTCTTCTCTGAGCGATTCTTATGATACTTCAACATGACATCTTATCTTCTCACTCACAATTATCTCTTAATATTTAACATATACCCCTCGCATGGCATTTTTTGCGTTTTGCACAACAACACCCACATCGAGCATGGAACCTCAACGTTTATTCCTTTTCATCTATTTTCTACGATAGAGCTCGAAGCTTTTGGAAGACATCAGTCTCCTCTTTTTGTCATTTTCACCTTCATCGCATTCAAAAAGCGCCGTTCAGAACAACAACGACTCTGCGGGCAAATTCAACTTTCTTGTTTACGCACAGCGACGATCAAAAATTCAACACAAAAGGTAGGGTATAACGGAGTTGGGATCCAAACTTGGGAAAACAAAAGCGCATCCTTTTCAACATGGGATAAGGCAAGAAATATACAGGCGGAGTCAAGTTAGAGAATGGTTCTTTTTCATTGCTTTTTATATTTACCCCCTTCGACCTGCGCACGATACACTGTTCTGGCCCCTATCGATCACTTTTTTGTTCTTCGCGTCTCATCTCATTTCATCTGCCATCTTTCCTTTCTAAACAAGGGATCGATTTCGGCTGTTCAAAAGTTTTCGTGCTTTTCTTTTTCACATCTAGCGGCGGCGGTGGTCGTGATGCCGAGTTCGGCTCACCTTGTGGTCGGGGTTGATGGTGGCCGATTGACATGGCATTCTTGGGGAAGGAAGGAAGGAAGGAAGTACCGGGTGAGGAGTGCCCCGGTGGGAGGTCCAGGGAAGACAGCAACGGGAAGGGAGGATATCCACCATTCATGCATTGTGCCTTCTCTGATTGACTGGAACATAACATCAACACAATTATCTCGACTCACTGTGTCTGTGTATCTCATCCGCGCCACGTAGACAACGAATTGCCCCCCTTCCTCCTTCATTTTGCACAGACCGGTAAGACAACAGTTCTACGCTTGAATTCCGGTAATAACCCTAGCGCTTGTCTCGCGGCGACCGAGAAAAAGTAGAGCCTTTGTGCGCAGTACGGGTTTCCATCAGGATGTAAGCTGTTTGATACGAGAAGGGGGACCGATGACTTGACTTTAAAATAAAAGTAAGGAAGGAAGCCGAGGAGGCTACCAGACTCACTCAGCTGCCTGATGGCAGGCGCACATTGTTCCTGTCCCAGACTGCAATAGATTTCCTCCTACCTACCAATCCGAAACTAGACCCGTGTACCGTTTACGTAGCATCTCCAGATTCACAGTAAGATGCAGCATGAAGGATTCGTCTGTTTGTTCATATTCGGAGGATGATAATAAATGACAGCATGGTCGAGTAGGCATAAGAATGAATGGCTGCAGAACGAACGCCAGGAGGAACCTCCGTAAAACGTGAGACAAGCCCACCGCCATCGTGGCACCCGCGCCCCCCCCCCTTTACAAGAGGGAAAACCGGTTCGAGACACGTAGGCCAATCGCAAACAAAAGCAATCCCAGGGAGAGAAAAAAGCACATCGCCGGCGCTTCTGATAACTCCCCCACATACAAACACACCTATGACACCTCGAGACCGTGGGAGGGAAAACCTAACACAGTAATACCGCCCCAGCATATAGTACAGTACAAGCCGGGATGAACCAGGATTTCCATCCATCCCAATCAACACAATGCCCGACCCAGGGCTCCGAAGAACCAGGCAAACGGTTTCGCGAACCAAATGACCCATGTACTCACGAGGACGACATAGCCCGCTGCGCGACCGATGATCATCATGCAGAATCCCAGGGTAACAACGTACAGCGCAGCCTGGCAATGGTCGATCAGCGAGCGGACCAGGTCCTTTCGGGACGGTCTGGGCCAGGCACCGGTGGAGTTGTAGAGGGAGAGGAATGCCAGGAAATTCTTGAGCACGAGGAGGCAATGCTCTATCATCATGAGAATGCTGTTGAAGGCAATGCGGACCAGCATCGCTTTGTTATCGCGATTTACCATCACTTGGCTGTAGAGTTGCTGAAGCTGTATTGCGGAGTCTATGATGGCGTCTTTGATAAGAGTCCATATGGGCGGGTCGTCGGCTGCATCCTCCGTGCTTTCGGGCCGTTTCGTACCGCTCTCGGATTGCTTCGCTGGGTCCCCGAGGATATCTGCATTGAAGTCCGTGACGTTGAAATGAAATACCCCTTCTTCTCGAGGTGTCTCATAGACTTGCTGTCCGTCCAGTTCGGCCACTTCGAAGCTCTGGAGTTCGCGAGGTGAGAGCCTCTCCTCCGATCCGTCTCGACTGATAGAATTTTGGGGGGAGATTTCGGGACCAGAGGATGTAGTCCCGATATAAGGCGATACATCTGGAGCAGTTGATGCGCTTGCCACTTGGGCCGCATTGTCTTGTACTAATGATGTCTTTAGTTCAGGGGAGGGCTCGAACACGCCTCGTGATACCATCGGCGGTGTGTTCCCACTTCCAGGTGCCAGGCAAGGTGGGTGACTCTGTGGAGGATTACTTCGCGGAAGACTGCTCGGGCCTTCTATTGTAGCCTTTGACGCCCCGGACGTACGGATGAACCCACGTATAGGCCTTGGTTTGTCCGACGTTCGGCGTTCGGGTTCTGTGCCCCGAGGTTTGATGGTGGGTATCTGAGTCGGTGATGTTGTCTTCGGGCTTACTGAGTTTGGAGAGGTCGGTTTGGATGGTGTGCAAGTTGCAGTCTGTCTTTCCCACGAATTCTGCGTCACTCGTCGCAGGCCTGCCGTGGATGAGCCTGCCTGAGACTTTGCCCGTGTACCTGTGATGATCTCTCCTGCGGCTCGAGATGTGGGTTCCTGTGTGCCCGGGGTCTTTTGAGCATGAGCCCTCAGGTCTGTCATGGTAACCATAGTGCGTGTGATAGTGGGTGTGATAATGAATACATCGTCGGACTTGCGGTGTGGCTTTTGCTCGTGGATCTTTGTCGTCGTATTTCCCTGAGGTACCCGGTTCTCTTTCAAGGGAGGTTTCGAGATATTCTCTTTCGAGAGATTTTCTGACTTTTGGGGCAGTCGACAATTGGTGTCCTTGCACATCGTCTTGGGCAACTGCTTCGAGCATTGGGCAGGGTTCGAATTCTGCGAAGTTGGGTTTCGGTCTTGCTGAGGGAGCGCCTTTTCTTGAGCTGCTGGTGTGAGGGCATGTGTCGTGGCTCTTCTTCCCTCTCTGGGAATCTTGGATTTGGGGCCTGGAATGTCGATGACCCTGGGGCGCTCGTCCGTGGTTGAAAAAAGTAAAATCTCGTCCGGGTTCTTGTCGTTCGGGCCGTTGATCTCCTTGCATCCTAAAAAAGAGCCGTCGGCGTTCGCTGCAAAAGGCGTGTTGGTCGACTGCCCAGGTGACTCTTCCCAAATCGTGCTGAACCGTGGCTTTCCAATCTCATCAGGACTATAATACCGAGGTGGTTCACCAGCGCCTTCATTATCGTTGTTCTCATAAGAAGGTGGATCAGGACTCGGCTCCTGGCCGTCCAAACCAATCATCTTTCTCTCGCGTTGGTCGCTAGGCATGATTTTGTCCTCAGGAGTGGTGGTACGGGGGCTTGGAAGCGTCTCAGGATCGAGCATTGTTCCACCCTCTTTGTGAACCCTCTCGATGCTCTGCTGGAACTTTGAAATCTGCTGTGCATTCAAATGCAAAGGATTAGGCTCTCTCGCTGACGGCATGTTGACAACAAACCGATCCTCCCAGTCGGTCACAGAACTTGCAGGTGCTGATATTGGTGAAATCGGATATGACTGGTCGGATGAGTCGGTCGTGGTATCTGTCTTCTCGGATGTCGTTGGCTGCGTGGCCTCAGTGGTCGGCAAACTAGGCCCTCGTTCTCCTGTATTTGGACGTTTCCGTTGACCAACGGCTTGAGTATTCTCAGATTTCCAGAAAACTGTTCCTGGGGAAGATCGATTGTCAAGGTGTAGGTTTGGAACATCTTTCCGCAAGCCGACGGGTCGTGTATGTATCTTGTCATCCCGGGGTATACCTCCCGTTAATCTCAACTTGTAGTTAGCAATCTCTTGCCTGGGTGAAGTAGCCAATGACACGATCTTCCGATATGCCTCTTGATAGTATTCCTTGTGCTTCTCCTTACTGCGCAACGGAGCTGGTATTTCCCTCTCGAACCTGTCTCGCACTTTACGCCAGTATTGATCACCGCCTTTCTCGGCCTGCTTCGGCGCAGCAAGTGACAAGGCCCCCAGAGATCTCTTTGGACGAATAGTGCGATCGCTTTCTTGTTCCTTGGTTTCGGTCACGGGAAGTCGCGTCCCAGCAGATTCTTTGGTCTTGTCGGCGGGGGATTTAGGGAGTGGGAGCTTGGTGGGTTTGGTTCTCCGCGCCGCGGTGTCCGACATGGTCTTCGGGTCCTCGGACTTGGACGTTGTAGATTGTTCGGTTCGCCGACCTGGGATCCCTGTGGCTTGTGCTGGGGGTTTTGCTGCGTCATGGGGTCTGGTGCGCTTGCCACGAGGATTTCGAAGTTGCAGCATGTTATCGCTGTTCGGTAGGTGGAGGGAGTGTTCCATCTTTGACCGCTGCTCAATCAGGAAACACCGGCAGCTTCAGGCTGCATCAATCCACCGACCCATTCCCTCTGCGATGGATGTGATGGCGATATCGTTGATTTGGGAGCTGTGCGAGGACTCGTGTGCGGTAAGGTGTACGGTACGATGTGTTGGACGAAAACGAGGCTCGACGGAGCCAGGCGAACATCATGCGAAAAGGGCTGGGGAAACCAATACTAGACGCGTTCTGCTGAGTGAATACTAAGGGATAACAGGCGTAATGATATGAGTGGAATGTTGGACGGCCAAGGCTCGCCTCACTGAAGAATGTGTGAACATCTAGGCAGGGGAGGGGGGGCTGACCAATGCGGAATGCGCACCTCAGACTTCTGATACCATTTGGCATGGAAGCCGCACGCAGGTCCGAGTTTCAGTATGCTTCCTGCTGGTCGCATTGGAAAGAAAATTGAGGAAACGACGGAACTCAATAGCCCGGACACCCATCAAGTGATCAAGTGGAGTGAGTGCATTGGAATAGCCATGCAACCTTCGCTTCACCGGCAAGTAAAAGTAATTTCAGATCAACAAAAACACGACAAGGCCAATTAAGACAAACGGTCTTCATGATTGCGGAGGATCAAAAAGCATATTGTACAGTGGCTGGCTATCGGGAACTCCATTCCCGAAAATGACTGGAAATCTTCAACGCCGCTCTGAGAAGACCTTCCCTCAGAAACAAAGAAAAATAGAGAAGGACAAATAAAATCAGATGAACACACTAAACGCCGTACTTGATGCTTGGAGAATGCAAAGTCACGAGGATGAGCCATGACGAAAGTTGAGGATATGGTTTGTACAAGAAATACTTTTTGCTGCCAACCTGGTCAAGTGAGGTTTGAGCGTATACCGGATGCTTACAACAAGAAATGGGTTGTTTCACGGCGTGCGCCAGGTTGGCTCCGTCTGGGACCTGGCGTGGCTGGACTTTCCCCTCCAGGCACATTGCTCCGTTTGAGTGGGCTGGACTGCCTTTTCACTGCGCTTGTACCACGCTCTTTGTAGAAAAAGTCTCCGTTACTTTGCAGTCGGCGGTCCAGGTTCGCCGAGACCGATTTCCTCAATGGAGAATTAGCGTGAGAATAAACCCCAAGACTACCTCCGTCGCCAGTAGCGGTTGGAGTTCGTCGGAATTGAGGCTGGCGAATCGATGCAACTGGGTTGCGGACAACAGGGGAAGCATCGCGCAAATGACTAGGGGTCTGGAGGGCACTTGAACGATATGTGGGACCACTAGGTGTACCCGCTGCGGATTGCTGTCCTGACGAGTATCCTTCAGGGTCGATATGTTTGATATAGTTAGGGTTTGGACTCGTCTTGAATCCTCGGTTGATGACGAAGGTTGGTGTGAATGTGTCGACCTTGTTGTGCTTGATGTCGGTATCAGACTCCGAGAATTGAGTTCCAACATCCCTCATCAGAGGTTGGGTTCGAGGATGCACATATTTGGTATCATACTCGCGGAGAACCTCTTTATGAACCAGCATGTTGTCTTTCGCCTGCTGCGTGTAGGATGAGGACAGGAATGTCATCTGCACTGAAAGCAGAGCTGCCAGAAAGAGAGTGGTCACAATGGTAACGCTGGGACGGGGATCAGACACATGAGTCGGTAGGAATAACCAATAGACTAGAACATGGCCGGGGCTGAACAGGCAGAAGAGTCGAATGCAGATGGGGAAAGGATCCCAGACAGCGAGCTCCCAAACATCGCGTTGAGCATCTGGATGCGCTCTCGATTGTGCCGATCCAGACACTACATCGGCCAAGTACCGCAAAGGAGACGCAGTTGTAGGGGTTGAGTCGACTCGCACTCGGTGCGCCGATGGTGTTGCGGGGGCACGATCGATCGAGGCTTCGAAGAGACGATAAAGGCGTTTACGATAAAAAGTATAGAAGGCGTTGAAGGCGGAAAATGTCGTAAGGAGGTGTACCAAAAAGGAGGCCTATCGATGAACAGGTGAGCGCGCTGCTGGATTTCGAGGCATGTGGGAAGATAGCACGTACCAACCAACTCAGCCAAGGTGTGCTTTCATCGTCGCCAAACACATCATCTATAGCTTGACTGCCCGTTGTTTGACTGTTGGCTCGGGCGATGAGGAAAGTCAGGTTTAGGAGCACACCGAGCGGCAATGCCCAGTCTTTCTCGAATTGATCCCAGTCATGAGTATCGACCTCCTCGGACAGCCACAATAGAAAGTCTAGAGGGTTCAGGTAGGATGCGATGCGCTCTGTCAACGGGCGGCGGCGCACAAGCCGGGGCATGGTGGGGGCGGCAAGGCTGGTAGGATATGGGGATGTTAATGGAAGTGAGAAGCTAGCTAGACATATGCCCAGAAGAGAGTAGCTGTAGACAAAGTTCGTGATAAGCTAATTGAGTCGAAGCCGCAAGTTTTCCTCCCGGCTGTCAACAACAATGAGGGATGATAAGTGAGTTAGTTAGTTAGCGGCCGGTCCTGCTTAGATAAGCAGACACCGGGGCTTAACTTAGTATGACGACGTCCGATGGATTGAACTTATCGGGATCGAGACTCAACTTACCTTACGGGGCCAGCTGTGCGTTTGTTTCCGCGGGCCTTACTTGGATCATTCGCAACGCCCGACGATTCCGGTCAGACGAGTCCATCTTACACATCCTCCTTCTTACAATAACACCATGTCGGCCGCGGCCGTCTCCTACAAGGTAACCCCCCCCTTTCAAAGCATCCCCGCTTTTGAGCTAGCCCGCATACTGACCTCCAACGGCCTGATAGGAACGGCAGTTCCTTGCTGTCATCGGAGATGAAGAGTAAAGTCCCTACCTCTCGTCGAACTTTTCTTTTCAAGTCACTCGCGAACTGACTGAACGCCCAAAACGTGCAGCTCCGTAACTGGACTTCTCCTCGCGGGTATCGGTGTACGTGTTACCCTGAAGTGACCAAACCGAAGAACATTGGCAGCATGCGACCAGCAACTGACCCTCCTTTGAAGCACGTCACAGATGGCCCGGACGCGCAACGAAACTTTCTGGTCGTAGACTCGAAAACGGAGACCTCTGCGATTGAAAAAGCATTCCACAGCTTCACGCAGGAGCGACAGGATATCGCCGTCCTGCTCATCAACCAACATGTACGTGATGGAACAGTGTGATATTCGCAGACGTTCAAACGCGATGATAGCGATGCCCGGTCGCTGAATGCCCTGATATTGACAACTATACTCAGATTGCGGAACGCATCCGCCACGCCGTCGATTCATATGCCGAGGCTTTCCCCGCGGTCCTCGAGATTCCCAGCAAGGACCATCCCTACGATCCCGAGAAGGATAGCGTGTTAAAGCGGGTGCGCCGACTGTTTGGAGAGTAGATCAGAGACAAAGAGGGACAGGAGATTGTCCACTAGGCACAATCAATACAAGACTGGATGCTCTATCGACCGTGCTGCATGCGCATACGCTTCCCTACTATCAGTTGTTCCTTTACCTGGTCTCTCCCGCACTGTTATGGAGAACGAATGGTCCCAGAGCGGGCGAAAGATACCCATGATATTTGTTCATAGAATTCCACCTGTCAATGTTGCAAGAGCGTTGCTGATATTCGGAACCTGTCTAATGGTATTACTTTTCACATACCAGTCTCTATGTACACTGTAAACTCTGGATAGATTGTCTAGCAGTTTGATCTTTGATACACTAGCAGACAAAGTCTCCTCACTGGATCTTGATACACATGTTATTAGTACTATGGTGACAGGGGAAGCCCAACGGTGAACGGTCGTAAAGAATATGACAGTGTGCTATGCCTCTGAGCAAATGCTCCAGAACGCCATAAATAACAGAACGCAGGCGAGGAGGCCAAGTAGTAATGATCGTGAAGCGTAAAACACTAGCTAATGGAGCACTGGTCAACAACAAGCAAATTCACTGGACATAATGACCGTACTCAAAGCATAAGGAGGTCACAGGACGGTTGTCAGCTTGCAAAACGAGCAATCGTGGTCAGTGAAAGAGCTCGTGAACATCTAGCACAATCCACAGCTGATGTGCATCAGAATGAGTGGTAAGCACCCGGAGATATGCTATTGGCATTTAGAAGAGAGAGCCCCTCTTAAACTCAATGTTTCGCGCGTCGAGGCAGGTAATCCGCTCATCATTCACAGACATGACATCGGCATGGACCGTGTATTTGCCCTAAATGATAGATGCCTTGGGTCAGTTTCGATTCGTGGCAGTTAGCGTCTTCATGGTTAGTGAGACGTACCGGAGGGATTTGACTGGGCAGGTCGACCTGCTTTGTCAAGACCAGATCGCCCTTGTCCAAGGGGCATTCGAGGTCAACATTGGTAAGTTGATCGCAGAGATCGGCCTTCTGCCTGATCAGAGTAATCAGACCATATTTGACCTCGAGCAGAACGTAAGCACCCTTCTCAATCGGCTCCTTCAATGTACCACTGGCCTCGATTGTGAGAGTATGGCCACTGCGAAAGATTAGCGATGAATATCACGGGATGACAAGCGGCTGTATCGCAGTAGGACATACGGAAGAGGAGGGTTAGGGGACAAGTCGACTTTCTTGATCTCGAGGACGTCGCCAGAAGGATTAGCGCAGTATTCTAAGGGATTATCGCCTTTGACAGGAATTCCATTGGTACTGATCGGAGACTGTGAGTTGAAGAAGTCGATCGACCGAGCGGTAACGGCGAAGGGAGCGACGCTGAGGAGGACTGCGGCGGCAGTAGATAAGAGCTTCATGGTTGCAAGACCTGAGGGACTGTGGCGTGTTATGACCTAACAGAGTGAGCGCAATGTCGGCACTGAAAACGCAGTGGGCGAGTGAAGATAAAGTATATGCTGTATAGTTTTCGAGCAGAAGAGCTTAATGGGAAGCGAAGTGATGCACGGTGAGGAGGCGAAATGGAGGAGACGAAGAGCGGTGTCATGGGACGTACCTGGCTTGGCACCCGCCGATGACGACGGCTGGGGGAAATCCACGTGATGGTGCCTGCGCCCTTTCCAGTCCTTGCCTACTGGAACTAAAATGAATGCATGGGCGATCAATCTAATTTAATTAGAGATCTCGAGCTGCTGATTTCCTTCCAATTGCGATTCTTGATGGCCTCTCCAAGTCTATTATACTATGGACTACGTACTTTGCTATGGAGTCAAGATACTTAATCTGGGGTTATTGACTCACCACCCATTGCTCCAGAGGGCGCAGCTTACTTATCGTTGTTTACGCAAATGCCTTGTACATCAATCTCCGCAATGCCAAACTTTCATATCCGACCAGCACACAGATTATGACTTCACTCTTGAGCCTCTTGAACTTATGTATTAAATGCATTCATCATAATATAGCTATTTACAGGTTCAACCTCTGCTTCAATGCTCGGAGACAAAGATGCCCGCCATTCCCATGCCCTAAAATGAAAACCTCAGTCAGCATTGAGCAGTAATCGGCTACTCTACTTGGGGTGAACTTACGGTTCCGACACACATCGAGGTCACTGCGACTCTCTTGTTTTGACGGCGCAGCTCTGAGAGGGCGGTGACAACTTGGCGAGCTCCAGTGCAGCCCAGGGGGTGGCCGAAAGCACTAAATTTGATTAGCAGCTGATGCATCGGAAAGAAACCACGCAGACTTACATAGCACCACCTCGAGGGTTGACTTTGGCCTCATCCAAGGCTAGCTTCTGCACGCAGTACGTTCCCTATGTGGAGAGTTAGTCCTTGATCGTGCTTTTATGGATTGAATGTGCGTGTACCATCGATGCGAAGGCCTCGTTGATCTCGAAGATATCAACCTCCTCCTTGGACAGCCCGACCTTGGAAAGGATCTTGGGGATAGCGATGGACGGACCGATACCCATGATTCTGGGCTCCAAGCCGGCCACGGTGGCGCCGCAGAACTTGGCCAGAATGGGTTGACTGAGTTCTTGGGCGCGGGAACGCTTCATAAGAATCAGACCTGCGGCACCATCGGTTATCTGACTGGCGTTTCCACCCGTGGTAGCGCTGGGTTTCCATTGGGGAAAGGCCGAGCGGATCTTGCCCAGCGACTCCGCAGTCGTGCCGTATCGAATACCATCATCGCGATCGACGACGATATCCTTCACCTCACCAGTCTTGGGGTCCTTAATTTGAGTCTTGACGGGGACAATCTCATCCTCAAACCAGCCTGACTTCTGAGCGTGCTCGGCTTTCTGGTAGCTCTTTGCCGCAAATTGGTCGTGCTGTTCACGGGAGATGTTGAATTGCGCGGCGACGTTCTCGGATGTTTGGCCCATGGGCTGTGCATTCTGCGAAGCAATGGGGTGCGCCGTGACCTGGGAGGACATCTCAGGCGCGCCTCCGTCAGCATTGGTACTCATGCTCTCCGCTCCAACCGCAATGCCGACGTCAATGGATCCAGCGATGATCTGGTTGGCGATATTCTGGATGGCCAGCAAGCCAGAAGAACAGAAACGGTTGGCAACAGAAGCAGCTGCGGTTACCGGAAATCCTGCAGCCAATACTGCAGATCGTGCGACATAGGCGGAACCGGGACACAAGACATTTCCGACACAAACATCTTCAACGAGATTTGGGTCCAGGTTAGATTTTTCGCGAATGGACTAATGAATGATGCGGTCAGCCAACGGGCAAGTGGCGCAAGCAGACGCAAATAACTTACTGTGAGCAACGAGATCAAGAGGTTGTCAAGCGTAGTGTCTTTGAGTCCGCCCTTTCTGGCCTTGGTGAGGGGAGTTCTGGCGGCAAATGTGATCACCTAAGGATCTCAAGTCAGCTCCAGACTAGACTACGAATCACGGTAGGTTGCTGTAGTGCCATACAATATCGTCAGGGTTCTGGGTCAGAAGCTTTTGCCGGGCAGAGGCAGCTGCCGGGCTGGCAATCTGGTTTGCGATCGAAGATAACCGTTGCTGAGGGGAAGACATTGTGTGCTAGTTCTATGTCTTTCTTCTTTCCCACTTAAAGTTGAAGAAATTCTTTGCCCGACTATGAAGAGGTTGCGGTGAGTATAGGAAAGAAAGTCAAATGTCAGGGCAAAGAAACAATAGAAAGGTTGATTCAGGCACTCTTCCCCAGGAGTTGGGATTGTTTTATTAAGCTGGGGCAAACCGCCACCGGACAAACAGCCGCGGCTCCAGCAACAACAGGGCAAGCCAGATGCAGCAAAGCAGCCGAGCCGAGATCGGGTTAGGGAGTGGGAGCGACCAGGCTTGCAATGCCGATCGAGCGGGTCTACTGTATCCAGCGTATCCACTTCTGGCCCCCTCATGAGGTTTTCTCCGCCAACCTTTTACGTACAGATGTGAATTAGGTCTGCGAGTGATCCATGGAAAGGCCGGGTAAGCATCGAGGCAGTTCAAATGGCCGATACGTAGTTCAAGCCGAGGCGTGAGTGGTTTGCTGCAGACTCGGGGAGGAAAGTGTACTGGAATGGTAAGACTGGTAATATTGGTAAGATACGGTAAGTCCCGTCGGCCTCGGCTCAGTCGGTTGTCGGCCCCTCCGCAATCTTGGCTTGTCTCCCCTCCGGATTTCCATTCTCATTGGGATTTCTTCTCTGAGTTCTCCCCGCGCGTCCTGTCAGTTGCGGGTCAGGTTTCAAGGTTATTTTGTCAGAATCCCCGTGCTTCGAGATAATGCACGGGATTCATCATGGCAGTTGAGGAAATTCGAATAGAAGAGGACGACTTTGGCAACATGCCCCGACCCCGACGGTCCGACTCTGAGCGGACAGTTAATGATTAACTGCCAGACTGTTCGAGATGATGGTATTGAAGTCTACCATCTGGCTCATATGCAGAGTCTCCCTCCTCGCTGCTGGGCGGAATAGAACCATACTCTCACTACAGTCAGACCGTCAGATTATTTTGGCCAACATGATTGCATACAGAGAGCATGATCCATCTATCTACCTTCCAGTTGTTAATAACTTAGCCTGCATGGATGCGACTGGACTGTTAATTACCGCCGCGGTTTGAAAGGTTGCTTAGATAAACCCACTCTGGTACAGCAGTACCAGACTACGGCAGTTCCCAGCTGTTTTGTCTCCCGACCCCAGATTCCGAACTTTCTGCTACCCCCATTCGCCATTCGGATACCTTTAATTGTTCACTACCCCGGATCTTGACTTCTAGATGCTGTTTTTCTTAGATAACTGGACTGTCCCGACGCAATTGAGGTCCGTCTCCTTATTACATAGCTTCTGAATCCATCAATTGCAGCCGTCACTGTCCGAGTCTCTCATACACATACACATTCTCCCCCCCACCCCAAAGACGATCAAGGCTGGGGAAAAGTACTAGGTACCGTCAGCATGGAGCTCTTCTCGGAGATAAGCACATCCTCCCTTGCAATTGCATCTGCCCTCTCTGTGGCGGCAGGTGCATACCTCAATGCCAAATATTCCATTGCCAGTGATGTCGCAGCGCTGCACAAAGACAGATCATGGACAAATCGCTTGGGTCAACGCATTGCGCAACTGGGCGATACGGCCACCATCTACAAGATGCTCGAGCGAGTAGTCGAAGCAGAAGGTCACGGCGCAGACGAGGCACTTTGGTTTGAGAACAAGACATGGACATATGCACAATTGAAGGATTGTATGTGAACCCAACCATTGTCCCCGAGGTGCTTCAGTCCGGCTAACCTTATGCAACAGTGGTTGATCGATTCGCTGCTCTTCTTCACGCCAGAAGTATAGGCCCGGGAGACTTCGTGGGCGTCTTCACCACCAATTCCCCGGAGATGGTCGTGACCATCTACGCACTCTCGAAACTCGGGGCTGTTGCTGCTCTCATCAACACAAACCTTCGCGGTAAGGATACGTGACGAGCACGTCTGATTGAAGTTAGGGCTGAGCTGATTGAAACTGGGCAGACGACACCTTCACTCACTGCCTCAGTGTCTCCGGCAGCAAGTTCATTATCTCAACACCCGATTTGTCGCAACATGTCTGTTCGGATTTGCCACATCTCGCCTTCAACCTGACATCCTTCGAAGGGGTTTCTTCCGGTACAGCGGAACTAATCACATCAGCGGACCTGCAGCAATTTTCGCCCACGGGGCTGTCTGCTGCTAAGAGATCTCCTAGTGACCTGAGCGCACTCATCTACACCTCAGGCACCACGGGCAAGCCCAAAGCTTGCGCTATTCGCAACATGATGGGGCTAATTACATCTAACCCCCAGACGGTTGACATCAACAACCGCTCCAAGTACTACCCTCTGCGGACTTACTCCTCCCTTCCCCTCTTCCATGGAACGGCTTACTTCACTGGTATCTGTTACTCCGTTGGAAACGCCGGTACGCTGTGTCTCCGGCGAAAGTTCTCCGCGTCGCAATTCTGGAAGGACGTGCATGATTCGCGAGCAACACGCATACTATACATTGGTGAGCTCTGTCGGTATCTCCTATCGACACCCCCTTCCCCCTACGATCGCAACCATGCCTGTATAGTCGCCAACGGCAATGGCCTGCGGGGCGAGATTTGGGAGCGTTTCCGACAACGCTTCGGCGTGCCTGAGATCCGCGAATTTTATAGATCCACCGAAGGAGTGGCCAAGTTTGATAACTTTGGAGAGGGCGCGTGGGCCGCCGGCAAGGTTGGACATTCGGGCTTCATCAAGCGTATGATGGAAAACGATACCTATATTGTCAAATATGACACGGAAACGGAAATGCCCTACCGGGATCCAAAGACAGGCTTCTGCGTGAAATCCAGACTCGGCGAAGAAGGAGAGGCGATCGGGCGGGTGAAGAGCCGTGGCCTCCTCACCGAATACCTCCACAACGATGAAGCCACAGAGAAGAAGTTGCTGCGCGATGTCTTCGAGAAAGGGGATCTGTTCCAACGCACCGGAGATCTGGTGGTTCGGGATCACGACGGCTGGGTCAGGTTCCAGGACCGCGTGGGTGACACGTTCCGCTGGAAGGGCGAGAACGTGAGTGCGGGCGAGATTCGAGATCACATCTGCCGGCTTCCGGCCATTCACGATGCCGTGGTATACGGTGTGAAGTTGAGCGCGTATGTCATTGAATCTCCTGAGCGCAGGCCATGACTGCAATCTGAATGTGCTTCCATGCTGACGAGTGGCTCTTACTAGGTATGACGGCCAAGCTGGTGCTGCAGGTATCACCCTCGAGGATGCTTCACCCGCCACCGAGACCGAAGTCATGGCCAACCTCTATCCCGAGTTGAAGAAGAGGGGAGTGCCGTCTTATGCTTTCCCTCGGCTAATTCGACTCACACAGAAGTAGGCACCCCGCTACCATTCCAAATTTATCGAGAGTAGGGAGTATTTTGCTGACCTACCGCCAGGGTGGAAACCGGAGTTACGTTCAAGCAAGCCAAAGGAGCTCTGACCAAGAAGGGATGGGACCCACGGACAGACTGGGACGGTGACAAGCTGTACTGGCTGGATGGCACACAGTACAAGAAGCTCGATGAGAAGAGCTGGGCATCAATAGAAAGTGGACAGGCCAAGCTGTGATAAGTGCATGGGGCAAGAAGAGGCAGTCAATTTTCTTTTTCTTTGGGGATACTTGGGTGGCGTACTGTACAGACCTCGTACTGGGGACTCAGACACATAGATGCGGTTATATAGTGTAGATAATAGCCGGTCTAGACTCGGACTATATGATTTGACAGCATCGATCGTCAAGAATCGACCAGGTGGTACTAGATGTATGCAGCTGTGAAGACCCGGCGGAGTGGCTGCCTGAAAACGGAATTGTTTGTGCATGAGCGTCCACCACAATGTAACCACTGCATCCATCCCTGCTCCTTGACAAATTCTGCGATGGCGAAGGACAACTGAACCGACAAAATATCATTAGTGCCTTCGATCAGTGCAGACCTTTCTTTCCAATGCTTGTTACGCTCAATTGGTCTGCTACTTCAGCACGCCTGCAGTCAAATTGCCTCCCAGCTTATTCTGTTCGTTGGCCACGAAAGGGAAAAAAACCCACGCACGACACCAAGAACCCACTTAAAATCCCCCGTGTCTCTTGTTGACTTACTCGTTACCATCAACCGTACCAATCACCTTATCTGCTCTTATCACGCTTGACGATCTTAGACGCGGGGTTCCAGCCCCTCCAGCCAGTCAATTGCCCGTATAAATGTTCTGCAGTGCGCACTATCCTTTAGCGCATTGAAAAAACCAAATCTCAACGTCCTGGAACTTGAAAACCGAAAACAACAGAAGGGGAGGGGAAAGAGAATGGAAATGGCTTCAACAGGTGTTCCTATTGAAGATTCCTCTTTGAAACATGGGCTGAAGCCAATCAGTGTTGACAGTGTTCACGAGCTACAAGACAGTCCTACGGACAGCGGCGGCGAACAAGAGCAGCAGCGAGCACCCGATTCCTTCGACGCTCAATATCGCACGACAAGATGGGAGATTTGGGCCTATTATGCGTGCGTGGAGTATAATCTCCTGGCGGAATAATTGCTAAACAAATACTTCCGACCATCTTTTAGTTACTATATCGGTAACAATGGGTTATCCTTGTTCAGTGAGACTCTCTTCCCTAATTGTTGCTGCAACCGGCATCTGCATGAGGATCGGTATCATCGGCAAGAAAAAAAGATCTCTCTCGGGTCGTCAGGCTAACAGCAATCCACAATTGCAGACTTTGCCCCAACGGCGTTCCAGAATCTCTTATCGCAAGCCGCAGGCGATCGGGGAACGTTGAATTTCGCCGGCCGTCAGCGGTCGGTCAATAGTATCGTCCTTCTCTGCAACGGCATCTCGTTTGCGATCCAGGTGGTCGTGTTCTTGGCCATCGGCAGTTTCGCCGACTTTGGGAACTGGCGGCCGAACATCCTGATCGTGCTGTCGATCATCGCCTGGGCGATCGGCTTTGCGTGGCTGGCGGTCCACGAGGCGGAAAAATGGAGCGTCGGCGTGGGATTGTACATCGTCGGGCTGATCGCGTACCAAACGACACTCACCTTCTGGACGGCGGCGTTCCCGGGCCTCGCCAGGAACACGGTCGAGATGCGCGATGCGGCGGATGAATATTCCGCGGGCCGCATCTCGAGGGAGGAGTATGACCATGCGGACTCGATGAAGCGCACCCAGCTGTCCAATGTGGCCTTCTACGTGCAGTCGGTCAGTGAGTTGGTCATCCTCGCCATCATTGTGGGCATCATGTTCGCCTTGCACGTCAATGCGAGCGAAGCGAACAACAACTGGGGCTTGAGCGTTCTGATTGCCTTTGCCAGTGGCGTTTGGCTGCTGGTGTCGATACCATGGTTCGTGCTGGAGAAGCGCCGGCCGGGTCAGGATCCGGAGGGAAACAATATCATTATTGCTGGATTGAAGCAGCTTGTCCGTGCGCTGAAGGATATCTGGACGTTGAAGCAGAGCCTGATCTATCTCGTTGGTATGTTTTCCTGCACCTTCGAAATGAACGTGCCTGGCTAACTGCAGTGCACTCCTAGGTTACTTCCTCCTCGGCGATTCACTGAACACCACCGTGACAGTTATCTCCACTCTGCAAAACAACATTGTGTCGTACAACTCTCTTGAATTGACATATGTCTTGCTGGCTGGTATCGCCGCCCAGGTTCGTACCCCCTCATATCATGCATACATGCTTGGGCCACCTGGAATATTAACAACATATCCAGGCCGTCGGCATTTACACATTCTGGTATGTTCAGCGACGCTTCGACCTGACCACCAAAACCATGTTCAACATTGTTGCCATCGCCATTATTCTCCTCGACGGCTGGGGCATGATTGGCATCTGGACGCAGAAATTCGGATTTCACCATCTCTGGGAAATCTGGGTAAGTACATTCTCTGCCTTGTCGAGGTCCCGCCCATACACTCTCTGACCAAGGTCTCCGGGATTAGGTATATCAAGTCTACTACGGATTCCTTGTCTGCCCGTGGTACAGCTACTCCATGATCATGATCTCCGAAGTCACCCCGCGGGGCCACGAGTTCCTCTTCTTTAGTCTGTTCAGCATCATCGGCAAGACCTCCTCCTTTATCGGACCGCTGGTGTCGAGCGCCATCATCGATGCCTCGCCGAGTGGGAATAACTCCACGCCATTTTATTTCCTGTTTGCGTTGAGTTTGGCCAGCTTCGCGGGGCTGGCTTTCTTCCTTGATCTGAAAGAGAGTCAGAAAGAGCAGGAGGAGTTTCTAAGAAAGAGGAGGAAGGAACCTGCAGTTTGAGGATGCATATCAATGGCTGTAGATTCGTTATTGACCTTGAATGTTACACCGAACAAAGCCACTGAGGCCTCGGATCCGAGGATCCATAGATGCAACTACGAATCTTGCCTTGCACGCCACTACTACAAATCAGTAAAACAGTATATTAAAGGATCATGAAATAGATCTGCTAGAGTACCACTAGCGTCCTCATAGTCCCCGGTTCTGAGCGCCGGGAATTCCTAAACAGTAGCGGACCCTCCAGCAGATTCTACATAGTAACATGTCCAGTATGCATGCCCCGCAAAGCGACAGTATAGATAGCCCCTCCGACGGATAAATTTTGCCACCACAGGTAGGCATAGGCGGTGAAGCGTGCGGCGGACGCCCAAATTAACCACTCTGCCCGGTCGTTTTTTGGAGACTGGTTTTCTAGATTTCTGGTGAATTGGGGAATCTGTCGCTGCGAGGCTCGTTAGCTTCTGCCGGATACGGCGGTCAGGTAGACGGTAGCGGGGGTCTTTTCTGCCATTGAACAGCTTCCCAGGTTTCGTCTTCCTGGGCTGTTCCTATCTCTAAAAGCCCTGGGGATTCTAGCGAGATTCTGCCGGGCGGGCGGCTTGCTGGTTCTGGTACTGCCACCCCACCCCACCACCGCCCGCCCGCTGGTACCTTGTTTTCTGCCACCGCCTAAAATTGAACAGTTTTCCGGATTGTTTTTTCGGGACTGGAATGTGGGGAGCGCTGGTTCTCCTGCTGCGAGGTTCGTTAGGTTCTGCCGTGTGGGCGGTGAGGGGGGCGGTAATTGGCGTGATTCTGCCAGTGCTCCATGCTTTGTCTACTGTAGTCGACCCGGCCTTGTCAAAATGATGGATGAATTAAATTGCGGGTTTCGACTGCTTAGGGCTCAAGAGGGTTCTTGGGGCATGGTTGATGCTGCCTTTCTCCGCTGCAAGGTAAATATCTCTTCTTCTATTCTAGCTTGTCGAATTTCAATCCTTCCGGGCCCCTCCACTTTACTTTAAACTATCTCTATTGTTGGGACTTGGTGAATCTGTGGGAAGAATCGTCGAACGCGCCGTGTTGGGAAGTATAGACTGCCGAATCGAATATCATTGATAACAGATGGCCCGATTCAAGATAAGCGGTTCCCACCCTTGTATACACCATACATGGAGTAATCTGGTAATACTCCCTCCCGTCTTCCCCTCACCGGCAAGGGAGGCAATGTCTAGTTTGATTCTTCCCCGCTGCAACCTGTCGGCGATTTTGTCCAATGCTATAAGTTGCGCCCATAGCTATCAGGCGCCTTATCTTCTCTCAAGGGCACTAAGTATGCGCTACTAGATATGGTTATGGTCCTCGAGTATAATTATGAATTGAGCATGCGCTCCACTCTTTGTCCACTTCCATAGTTCCATCATATTTCAGGTATCCCGAACCAATCCTCTCACCATGACCAGCCCATTCCCAGCTGGAAATAGCATGTCCTCATTCTGGCGGTCGGAGCCCGATCCATTGGACAATCATCGTTCCACCGACGCTCTACCTGAAACCTGCGACATTGCCGTCATCGGAGCTGGCTACGCCGGCGCATCTACTGCTTATCATTGTTTAGAGCGTGCGACTGCCGGCGGAAAGAGGCAGCCGTCCATCGTCATTCTTGAAGCACGGCAGGCTTGCTCGGGGGCTACCGGACGCAACGGTACGAAGCTTCGCTCATGAAGTAGCTTTGCATCATGAGCATTCGCTAATTTGTGGGGCGTCCATCTGCCCCGCGGTTTGCACAGGTGGCCATCTCAAGCCCGATGTCTACAGCCGAGTCGGCAACCTGGCCAATGAGTACGGAGTCGAAGCGGCGGCCGAAGTAGCCGCATTCGAGATGGAACATGTCTCTGCAGTGCAAGCTTTGGTAGAGAAGGAGAATATTGATTGCGATATGGAGGTTAACCGTGTCTGCGATGTGCACTTTGACCCAGCCCAGCTTGCAAAGGTCAAAGAGGGCTATGATTCTCTCGTCGCGAAGGGGGTGAAGACTGTAGAAGATGTGAAATTCACCGGGCTGGAGGCTGCTGAAGCTGTGAGTTTATCGCAATCCTATGTTCCGTATGTATGCACATGCTTAGATCCGCCGACCTTGGCAGATATCGGGCGTTAAAGGAGCTCGGGGGTGCTTCAGCCAACGCACCGGGCGCCTCTGGCCGTACAAGCTTATCATGCACCTTCTGAAGCTCGCCATTGCCGCCGGGGTGAATCTGCAGACAAACACCCCGGTACGGCAGATCTCCGATGATCCGGATGCTGAGGGACGATGGACCCTCACCACTGACCGCGGCTCGATTCGCACCAAGACGGTCATCTTCGCCACCAATGCATACACCGCTGCCCTCGCACCGCAGTACAGGGACAAGATCGTCCCTGTGCGGGGATTCTGCAGTCGGATCGTGGTTCCGAACCCGCCTGCTGTAGCCATGGACCGCTCGTATACTCTGCGCTTCAACGCCTGGGACTACGACTATTTGATCCCACGTCCTGACGGTAGTATCATCGTGGGCGGTGCGAAGTCCACCTTCTACAAACAGGACATTCCCAGTTGGTACCACAACACTGATGATGGCAGGGTGGTGGACGGTGCGACGCGGTATTTTGACAACTATATGCAGCGTACCTTCCACGGCTGGGAGAATACGGGGGCATACACGGACCGTGTGTGGTCAGGAGGTAGGCCCTTGTTGATCGGCTTGTTGCGTTCTATGATTGTTGGGCTAATGTTTGAGTAGTGATGGGATATAGCAGTGATTCTCTACCGCATGTTGGACATGTGCCAGGTAAGCCCGGTCAGCTCGTAATCGCCGGTTATAGTGGTCATGGCATGCCGCAGATTTTCTTGTCTGCGCGGGGCATCGCATGGATGGTTGTGGATGGGGCAGCTTATGAGGAAAGTGGAGTTCCACGGCTGTTCAAGACAACCCCAGAACGGTTGGCGAGTGGTCGGAATGATATCCTGGCGTATGTCAAGAGCCTGGATGTGGGAAGTAAGCTTTAGCTTCCGACGACCTGAGTAGATTCTCAACGGTTAACATTAGAAGAGAATGGTTATAAAGCAACTAGGAGGCAATAGAGTGATTAGCCAGCTGTTGTGTCGCTTGAAACGAGGAACTGGAACTGGAGTGGAGATGCGGAGTAAACAGGCCAGGGACAGCCGCTGCGGAGAAGGTCTTCACCGCCTTTGATCTCCGCGCCGAGATTGGAGTCGACTCTTTCTCCTTTCCTTTTCCTCTCTTCCATCATTCCTCATAGCATGTTGCATTTATATCAATAATGATTTTATGATCAGTTACAAGCGACACGATGCCCATCTGCATCGAGTGCTCATATCCAGTCTCCCATCTGTACAGCACCTACAGCCGTGCTGATGACCGATCATTGGGTAAAGGAGTACGCTTGACTCAATGTCCGCGCTGCCAGCGCTTCGCCGACAAATATGTCGAATATGACTTTGTCGTACTCTTCATTGATCTTGTCCTGATCAAACCACAGGTGCGGCTCTTGCTCTGCAAATTGAACCCAAAGCTAAATGTACCAGGTATATCGCCATCTGCTCTTCAATCGATTAGGAGGCTATGACAACCAATTCGATGTAAGACCGCCCGCCCACTGTCAACACTTTCATCACTCAATAACTGACGTCCTCAGCGCTCCATCATCCGTCTCGGGATCCTCCTACTCCTGTTCGATGTCTACCTCACCTGGGCTCGTATTGAGAAATCGCCCTCCATTGTCGATACCTTCCTTTGGCGCGCCCCCGTCATCGTCCAATACCTCTTCTTCCTCAGTCTGAACGCGCTTGCGACGCTTGCTCATCATCTCACCATCCGTCTCCTTGCCTCGATCCTCGCCCCAACGTCCCGGGGTCACGTCGCGAAGAACAATACAACAAACCACACCGAGACAGAGGCCTCTCATCCCTCCACCCCGGTGCTACCGTCCTTCCCAGCATCCCAACTATCACCGACTGCCACACCCACCCCTGCAACGACTCTCAGCCCACCTAAGCTCATCCCGCAGGGCTCATCTTCTTCTCTCCAAGATGCGGCAACAACAGCATCCACTGGCGCCATCACGACAGTCAGCGAATCCCAAACCCAAACCCCAACCGCCCACTCCCCCCCTCCGCCGCCGCTCCGCCGCTCCTCCACCGCCCCCACCCAAAACATGGCCATGAACATCCCCATGGGAATGAATATCAAGCCGTTGCCCCCACCCTCCCCTGCAAGCCCCACCGCCATCAGCACCGCGCTTCTCGTCAGCAGCTGCGCGAAGCTATTTCCCATCCTCCTTGTCATCTGGGGCCCGGACGGCAGCGGCAACGCTTTCACCACCACCACTACCACCGCTTCGCACTCTGCCATCGATCAAATCGGCAGTAGTGCCAGTACTGGCTCACCCACAGCCCTCGACAGCATCCTCACGCCTGTCGCAGCAATCACCGCCGCCATCACAACAGCCACACAAACCTCCTCCACATCATCGTTATCATCATCGTCGTCGTCACTTTCCTCCTCCCTCCTGGATAGTGTCATGCGCGCACTGCCAGAGTCTGTTCCCACCGGCTATCTCGCCGAGTTCTTCGAGTTAATGGGCTCGCTGCTGTCTCTGGGTGCGGCGGATTCGCATCTTGTGCTACTGAGTAACATCGAGGCACTGTATATCCTGCTGGGATGCGGGTATCTGCGGGCCGTGGCGTTGGCGGTGACGGGGTTGGTGGCGCGGTGGTCAGTCCAGAGGGTGATCTTGGGGTTGGTCGGAGTTAGTTAGTCTAAGCTTAACGGGAAGAATCAACACAGGTCCATGCTTATTTTTTAGCTCCTCTACCTCCACCTCCGTATACGCTACATATAACTCCCCCCCTCCCAAGAGAAGAAAGAAAAATGTAGGATACAATCATGATGCAATTCGCGAATCCGCATAACTCAAAACAACCTTCACCCGTGCCAACAAACAAAATCAACTATACAGAACGTTCGAGAAAAATGAGAAAATCCCTTGCAGAATTCACGGGGGTATAATCCCATCCAACCCTCCCGGCCAACCAAGCCAAGACGGGCCCGTACGTAGCATATCACCAACACTTCTAGGCACCCACCCTGCCGATCCACCTCGACACACATCATACAAAGGCCTCACATCCCGAACTTACACCCCTTCAACACAAAAACAAGATCACAAGTCCAAGAGGGATTTACTCAGGCACCCGATCAGGCCGAATATCCGACCTCTTAGGCGTGATGAGCGGATGCCACTGCGCGAGGAACGTGATCGCTACACATAACAGAGAATTCACCGGTCAGTATTCAGTTTTGGGGACCTGGCCCGGCTCATGAGGGCATGGGGGAAAGACATACCCCACATCAGATAACAGCATACGAAGGATAAGATCAGGGTACTTCTGAACACACTGTCTCAAGTATTAGTTTGTTTTTTTTTGTGTTGGTGTCGACCCCAGCCGACATATTGCATTCTCTCTTTAGCAGAGTCATGGGCGAGGGGAGGGTGCGATGAACATACGTCTGATTCTCGCCCTTGGGGCTGAAGATCCACGCCAAGACGGAGGCGATGACGACGACGATGAGGCCGATGATGATGCTCCATCTGGTTGTTTTGCAGCATGGGTTAGTGGGCGGTTTGGGCTTCCGGTTATGTTGGATGTGATGGAAGGGCAATCAAGCCTGCTTGCTGCCCTCGCACACTCTTGGTGGCCGTTGGGGGAAAGGTTCGAATGGCCGTGAAGCAACTTACCCGTTCGCCATCTTGACTATAATCGCTTCGGATATGAGTTGTCTTGCGGAGGTCGAGGAGAAGGTCTGTGGCGAGGGTGTAAGCACCAGGTCCCGATTGGCAGATACGCTTTGTGGTGGTGGAAGGAAGTACAATTATTGTTCCGTACAGCGTAGGGCCAGCCTAACTGTGTGCTTTTCTCCTTTTGTCTCGGGGTGGTTTTTGAAGATAGATTGATTGTGGGTGAGGGCTGCTGGCGAGTGGTTGGCCTGGGATTGTGTATTGCGCTGTGGGTGTGGAGTGCTGTGGTTACTTTGATTGTTCGAGGGGTATGGATCGTTGTTGCGAGGTCGGGAATCTTATGTACGCTTGGAGAGTGAGGGGGGTTTAGAAGGCCAAGTTGGTGATGGAGATGCAAGCAATTGAGAGATTTGGGGGGCGAAGAATGGCGAGAAATGGTTGTCGTGGCAGGCAGAGACCGACAGACTGACAGGATGATGATGGTTATCGACAGAGAGGTGAGTTATCGGCGGAGCTTCTCCGAAGACTGATGCTTGCTGCTTGCTGGCAGCTGGCAGCTGGCAGCTGGGTGAAGTGCCGGCCTACACCGCCTGAGCTCACCGTTCACTGCTCACCGCCCTGACCGGCCCGCCGTTGGGGCCTGAGGCAGACATAGTTGGCCGAAAACGACAAATACTACAGTCCAAACTACAGTCACAATACAAAAGGTGTAGTCAATCTGGTCGATGTAACCACCTATCGAGGGATATAGAACACCGTCATAGAAGCAAACAGGGGCTGAATTAACAGGGGCTGCGATTCCAACAGAAGCAAACGATGAGACAAGGAAATTTACAATTTGAGCGGCATTTCAAGCTCCCTCACGGCTTTTACGGTAGCTAGCCTGTGTCAAAATGCACGTTAGTCAAGCACCAAGAATATAACATCCGGAATTCGTGCACTCGCCTCTTGCTCAACCTGCAAGCCGTCCACGACAGGAGCCAACTCGCTGAGTATCTCATAGGCCCGCTTGTGGAACTCGAGCTGCGCTGCGATCAAATCGGCCAGGTTGCGGAGGGGCTCGGGGGTGTCGAGAACCTGGTACATAGTCAGCCATCATCCGCCAAGTCAAGTCACTACCATATGCACATACATTCTTCATCACGCTCACAGCTTCCTCGGTCTGTCCGACGAACTCGTCCTCCGCCTGCTCAATCTCGGCGCGAGCCTCCTCGCTCAGACTGTCCCAGTCTCCCTTGACCTGAGCCTTCTTGGCCGCCTTGACCGAGTCCAGCATGAGACGCGCGTTCTCGACGTTCTTGCGCGCCTTAGCCGCGAACATTAGGTTCGTGTTCAGCGTGGTGTTCCACCCAGCCAAGAATCGCGACTGGATCTGAGCATCCTGGGCCAGACGGGCCTCGCCCACCTTTTCCTCGGCGAGCGCGTACTTCTCCAGCGCAGTGGCCAGGGGGTCCTCGCCGTGAGAGGATTGCGCCAAGGTCTGGGATCCGGCCAGCGAGGCGCGAGCGATGGCGTGGTTGAAGGTCTTGGGCTGGGGCTTGGCCGAGGGAGGGGCGACCAGGGCTGCCTGGGCCTCGGCAGGCGACGAGGCTTGGGAAAGAAGTGAGACCTTCTCGTTGATGGTGCGACCGAGGTCGTTGAAGGATTCACGGATGTTGGGAGGGTAGTCGTAGGCTTCGTTGGAGTATTGAGAGCTGGATGGTCGGTACGTGAGCGCGTAAGATCTTAAGACCGAGGAATATATGGATGCCCTTACGTGACCTGGAGGAGCTTCTGGTGGACAATCTTCAGCGCATCCACGCGCTTCTCCAATTCGATGTACTCATCGGGAAGCTGAGTCCGGTCTTCTGCCTGGCCGAGTTGCTCGCGGATCATCTGCTGAGTGCGCTGGGCAAAGGGAGAGAAGCTCGCGCTGGATGTCCCATTGAAACGAAATGTTAGCGTAAATGTCCGATCGATAATGGCAGCTCAAGCTCGTGCTGCAGCCGCTGGGGAAGAGGCTGGATACGGAATCCACTACCATCTCCTGGCACAAGCCACACTCAGGAGAAGGACGATTATTTATCTCACCTGAGGTTTTTTCCGAACGCTGAGAACTTGTCCATGGTGAAAGTCGGCACAGTCCTGCTGGTAGATATTCAGTAGACGCGATGCAAAGATTTTTGTTAAAAGGTAAAATAGCCTATCTGTGGCTTGCAGAGGCAGAGTGTTTTGAGATAATCGCAAGCGTCGAGGCCACTTTCCGTCGGTCTGACACCGCCTGGCCCCGCCACGGTTTCGTGCCGGCAATTACGCTTCTGGAATAGTTCAAGTTCCCGCCTGGCAATCGCTTTGGTTGGAAGAACAATCAATCCAAGGGCGATGAGTTGGCAGCAGGCGGTGGGAGAAATTGCTTGCAGTAGTACACTTAAGTGGCTGGAGCAGATCATACAGAATCAAATCTCCGACTACTCAAATTCACTTATTGGATGTTCATGAGTCATGAGTCATAAGTATTTGTTTGTTTGGTTATAGTCATCGTTGCTAGCATAGTCATCAGTATCTTCGCCAAATGATCGTCAAACTGGGCTAATCAAATAGTACACAGAGAAACGCAGTCAAGCTGTTATAGTACATGATACGAAAGCAAAGAGAAGAACAAAATAGGAAAAGAAGATCACAGTTATGATAAGAAACACCGAAAGGGTAATCGATAAGTCGTGAGTCAGCGTCATAAAAGCAAGAATTGGTATATCACCACAACTCAACCAGACTACGTCAATGTCGCCATCATCGCACGCATCATGCGGGAACTTGGACCTAGAAAGGCATTAGCATCCAAATGGGTGATAGAACAACATATGTTTCGTACCTCTACGCTCTCTCTTCACTTCATGAATCTCCTCCGCAACCCCATCCCCAATGATCTCCGTGTCTCGGACATATTCTCCGCTGCCACGCCGCTCGAGCGCATATTCCCGCAGATCTTCGTCACTATCGCGGGGCCGCACCACAACTGCCAGGGACCCAGCGTGAGTCTTGCTAGGTTGCTCCTCGTAACGCTCATATCTGCGTACTGGTGACGATCGACGACGGGGTCGTCCATGCACCGAAATGTCTCGGGTGCGTGATACAGTCCTGGTCACTTTCTTTTCCAAAAGCTCACCATGGGGGGGGTGGTAGTGGTGGTGGCGCGAATGAGATCGATGCCGCGACGGAGACGCCTCGATGATAAGAGTGTCATGGCTGGTTCTAGGGGTATAGGCCTCCATCGGAATTCGCTCCACAGTTCTGTCTCGACGGCGGGCGCGAACTGGGGACGGCGAGCTGGTGTGGATAACGCGTGCTTTAAAATCATGCAGTTAGTGCCTGCTGCCTGCGGACTCGAGGCGAAAAGGGTGACTTACTCTCAGTCAGGCGCTTGATCTCGCGACTTCTCCCAATGACCTCATCGATTTGTTCTTTGGACAGAGCCAGCTGAATGACAACCATTTTGCCCTTGGACCAAAGATGTCAGCTTATCGATCGGTAAAATAGACTCTAGACCTTTTTATTGGTCCGAAGTGTGAAAGAACTGTATACACACCTCTTCCTCATACGGGTAGCCAAGCTCGCGGATTGCAGTGGTATGAACCATCTTGCGGGGCATGCGAGTCTTTCCTTTCCGAGGATACGGTTTTTCCACATCAATTCCCTCCACCAGTCGCTCACGAAAACGACTTGCTGAGCGACGGGGACGTCCTACACTCCGTTCGCGAAAGCCCCGGTACTCTTCCTCTCCATAGTCTCCTTCCGCAATGCTGATTTCCTCGTAGTAGTCTGGTTCGCGGGTTCGATGGTAAGATCCCCGTCGGGGTGGCGGGCTTGGAGATAATCTGGGAGGGCGGTCACTGTAATAGTATTCGTCTAACTTGCGCGCAGGGATCCGATCAAAGGTGTCTAGGGAGGATTGCCGCCGGAGAAGTCGAGGTCGAGGCAGAGGGCTCTCCGCACGACGGCGATCGTAAGCGACCAAAGGACCAGATGAATGGATCAGATGATCGTCCTGGTACACAATGTCGGGGC